CTTGGTCCTAGTAGCGATGCCAAGAGTCCCTAGGAGCGTCTTGTTCCCTTCCGTTGGTTTCCTGGTTCCAGAGAAAGCGGTTTCCGGCGCTTGGTTTCGTTTCAGGCGCTCTTCTCGAAAGAGGAGTCCGAACCATGGGCCTCCGAGGACCCGCAAACACAAATCGTGTTCAAACAGTGTGTGTTTTCACTTTTTCAATAGATGGTTTTGCTGCAAACCGTTTCAGATTGGTTGTTTCCATGTTCTTGTTGGTTTTGAAGTTGAGTGTTTTTCCCAGATGGTTTTTGATGTGGTTGTTAAGTGGTTTCGCGAAAACAAGCACATTCTCATCATGTGTTTCGTCTCTCCAGTTGTTTGCTGGTTATTTGTGTTTGCCGTCTCCAACATTTTAGGAGTCACTAGCAACTGAACTCTTCAATGATTGGATGCAGCTCCTCGGCCAACTGAGCAACTGCTGCAAATTCTTTGGTGAAGCACGGGGGATCAATGCTCAAGTTTCAGATTTGACCTTCCCCGAGGCTGTTCAAAGTTGTTTGTTCACGGATTAGCAATTTACTTTTCTTTGGCTTCTTTGGGCACTGGGAGTTTGTCTTTTTCAAAAGGCAACATCTCAGGCTTTCTGGCAAAGCCTATTGACAATTGACAAGCCTTCCTTTGCAGCCCCATCCACCAGTAGAAAACAAGCTTGCCATGTTTAATGTCTCATTCTCATCTCCCGACACAGTCTCCATTCTAGCTTGATCTAGCGAACCATGACCCAATGACATAGAATTATTGGCGGTACTTCTGCGACCTGGCCCTTCTGGTCTTTTGAAAAAGGCGCCATTCTACCTGACGACCCAGGAATTAACAATGATTTGCGCAGCTTACCTTTTTCATCTTCAAGTTTTGCATGGAGACAACCTTCTTCTTTTTGAGGGCCTCGGATTGCCAATTACGGATTGCAACAGGTCAACCAAAAATTGAATGGCCAACTCGTCATCAGAGTATGCTGCCGCGCAACCTATGTTGAAAGGACTGTTGAAAGGTCAGACATTGTGATATGCTGGTCACATCCTCTCATCAAAGTTCACTTGGCTTGAGCCCTCCCAGCGTGAGGGCTGGGGGGTTGTGGTGTGGTTTTTGGTGCAATGTTGATGTGTCTCGTGCGCCAACCCTGTTCCGGTCATCGCCTTCCCGTCACCAGCGGTTGAATGGCCAAAGGCCTTTGTTTGCTTCAAAAAAAAGAAGAATTTGCATTCTATCAGACCTGAATCCTACCAGCTGCTCATTAATTGTGGCAGAGGCCCAGACCTGATGACACCTGAAACCTATGCAGGTGACTAATGAAGCGGCGTGCCATTTTGCGATCAATCGGCGCTTGCCGATGAACAGCGCCAAGTTGGCTTGAATCAAGAATGGAGACACTCCAGTTGTCCGGCTTTTTCGTGCGAGTTGTGGATCAGATGAGATTCTGTGCCTTTCACTTGTGAAGCGACGTTGAAATGATTGTCTCCTGCAAGTTCTCGTGGACGCCCCCCAAAAAAATAACGCAGAAGCGCAAGCGTGGTGCCGCGCGCCTTTCCAAAGAAGGGGGTCTCACCAAGTAGCTGGAACGTCAAGGAGGTACAGTGCCCAGAGGGATATGGACCTATAGTGGCTTCTGCGTTCGTCGCAGACCAGATGCTGGTGGAGAATGTCCAAGGTGTTCTTTGACCCTGGTGTCATTATATATATATATATCACACACTCTGGATATTGCGTATAGATTGTGGCTTGCCAAACGCCAACTTAGGTTTATAAAAATCCAAAAGTTCATCAAGTTCAAAACCCCCGGGCTCCAAACCAAAGTTCACGACAAGTACGTATCTTCGAAAATCGAAGGGGGCGATCGGCGAGCGCATGACTGCAGAATTCATTGCTCTAGCGCAAGCCGATGCGATGGAAAGTCTTGTTCTAATTACAGACGGGCCCCCGAGGTCCACACCGGCTGAGTGCCATAGCTTCGTTGGCATGGCTATAGGGAAACAGCTGCCACGCCCTGCAATTCTACACCAAAAGGTGACACGATTCCAAGGTGTACACACACACACATATATATATATATCCTGCTTGTAAAAAATGCGCGTATTAAATCAAGAGTGGCGCAGCTGGGGAAAGCCAAGAGCGCCGCAGAAGTGATGAGGTTGAAGTGTTAACGGCTAATGTAAAGTGAGAGGCCAGAAGGTCGACCAGGGAAGCACGCAAGGGACGAAACTGCCGCAAAAACAACGAACGAAAAACAAAGGAAAAGCAAGAGGCGCGCTGGGGCACCAAAATCAGAAAGGAAGGCTGATAAGCCGGAGGGGCCCGGGTCGACGGTCGGCTCAAAAGTAATTTGTATATAGCTAGCCGCCTTCGTGCACACGTTTGGAAACACGGCGCACTCGCTGTACCAATATAGAGGCACTTGAATGTCCCATATCTTACCCGATCTTCCCATGGCACGGTTTTGGGGGTTGCTAGCGTGCTTCCAATTCTTAGTCTTGTCACAACTCTTGCGGTTGATGTTCGGCGCACAGAGTTTTCCTCGGTAAGTTCTTGGGCGGTCCTCCCAGGTGAGAATTTGTCATGTCCTTTGAATTTGCGCAATATCCCACGCGGGTTTGGTGTCCTTATGGTGGGTTTCGTCATGGCTTCGAACTTGCTCTGGATGCTCATCTGAGGTCCAGCAGCCGCAATCGCTTGGCGCTGGCAATGCACTCAGCGATGCGCGGATCGTATTTTCAATTGGAACCGACCTCAACCAACAACTGAAAAATGTTGTTTCTATTGTCAGCTAAATCCTCAGCATTGCTGAGCTAAAAGGGCAAGGGCGAGCACACACACATGCATACTCGTACTAAACCGCAGGCTCCGAGGCATACAAAAGTGCGCGCGTCAATTTTCATGGTAGCGGAGCTCTGGCGGTAGCCCCACCATCTCCGGGGCACCCTTTTTGTGGTCCATCCCAACAACATTTTATGGTCTGATGAAGGCCGACTTGGGCCACGTTCATGGCTGGCGCTGACGGTTTGGACGGCTTCAGCATCCAATGGTGGGGCTGTTACACTGATTCAATCATTCAGGCCCTACATGGTTTCATCGAGTTGGAAGTTCTTCAGGCTTCACCAAGCACCCCAAGCCACCCACCACTTTTCAGCCGGAAAATCGAGGAGAAGAGCTGGGGAAGTGGGTGGACTGGCGATTTCAGCTTGAGACTTTTGTTGGAGCAGTTGATCCCATGATACTGCAGGAGTTGAGGAGCCGCAAAGAGAGTCGCGCGCGCGAGAAAGCAACCAGTCTCCGTCAGGCAGTTTGAAAAGAGAGAATCTTTTGAAAGAATGAGTATGAGCCCAAAGACAAAAGTTAGAGCCAGTCAAGAGCAATTCCCAGGCGGTGATGATACATTGGCTGAAGAGGTTCTACAGTCAGCTATGAATGACGTCAGCGAAGAAGAAGCTGATGAGGAGTTAGCTCAACTTGACCTACAGGCTCACAGGCAAGCACGAAGAAGAAAGGTTAGAAAAGATGGGCGTGTTGGAGAGAATGAAAGAAGATGAGCAAGAACAAGAAGAGGAAGAAGAAGGCCCCTCTGTCTTGACAAGCAAGATGGTGGCGACATGGAGTTCAGAGGTGAACAGGGTGGAGTGTTCACAAGGGCCAGACGTCTAGCATCTGTACAGCGGTACGGACGCTACTTCAGGTGAGGACTGGATTGGCTTTCTACACCCTTGATGTCAAAGACGCTTTCTTGCTGATGGAGCAACCTGCCGATGAGAAGGCAATGATAGTGACAGAGAATGGCCAGTACAAGTTGAAGCGCAACCTCCCAGGTCAACGCAATCCTGGAGCACAATGGTTCGATGATGAAGAAAAAGAAGACACCTGGAGGAGGAGATGAATGCTCGATGAACCTGACGATCCACGTCGATGATCTTTTGGTCGTGGAAGAAGAGAAGGAAGTTGAGACGTTCATCAAGTTCATGGAGGCGAATTCATGGTAGGTGGAGAAGAGAGGATCACTCTACTCAGGAGCTTTCAGCTTTTTGAAGAGAATCGTGGAGTTGATCGAAGAGGGTATCAGGATGAGAGCAGATCAGGAGCGCGTCAAAGAACTGGCCAAAGTGACAGGTGTAGATGAAGCGCAGCCAGCCAGAGCTGCTTCAGACCAATGGAAGAAGGGACAAGGAGTTGAAGAAGAGTGACCGAGAAGACGAACCAAGCACGTCACAAGGTGGAAAAATTGCATTGCGTCGTGCCACACAATGGAGACAGAATGTTGCCATACTGAAGGCTGCGGAAATGTAGCCAACCGAGCTACGTGCAGAATCCGCGCGCGCAGCCAGTGTGTGTGCCTAAGTGTGTGCGCGCACGTGCAACCCCAAGGGGGGTGTCAACGTTTCAGCAGATTCGAATCACTCAGGTCCCACAAGGTTGAACACACACATGTGTGCATACTCGTACTAAACCGCAGGCTCCAAGGCATACAAAAGTGCGCGCATCAATTTTCAAGCTTTAACACTTGTTGCGGCGAGCCAAGGTTAACGCAGTAAAGTTGTCACGCTTCCGCTCAAAACCGAATTGAAAATCAAGACTGCAGTGTATTTTCGATAGTCCATTGATCCAAAACCCATGTTCTATGAAGCTTCCTGCAGTTTCCAGATCTGCAAACGCACTACAATTCCTGCAGCTTCACACTGAATGACCGCATGTTCGTTTGTTGTTCGTGCTTGGACCCACTAGACAGCCAAGAGAAAGCCATGAAAGCCCTCATTTGGGTTGAGGTCTCGGAGGCTGCAGCACTTTGCGCTGAGGTGGATGCCATGTTAGGCCACGGGGGATCCAAAGGTTTCCTCGCACTTTGTCGGTGCAAAGTCTTCAGAGAGACGGGGCGCGAGAAAGAGAGAGAGCACAGGTAGAGAGCCTACGGATTGTGAGCCCTTCTTGTTAGTTTGTCATTTTTCATGAAGGTGTTGAAACCAGATCATTGCTTTGTGCCAAACTGTCTACTGTTGGAGCTTTCTGTTAGGAGACGAGAAGCTGCCACAGTCTCTGGCCGCGCCGGTGAACGCTGTGTCTGGACGTTGTCCTCATCTTGTCCATTTGTTGTCCCCTTCTTGTTCTCCTTCTGGTGCGCAGCTTGGCCACGGCCGCCAGCCGGTCTCCAGACCTTGTTGTCCTCCTTGTTTTCTCTTTTTCTCTTCTTGTCTTCTTATCTTGTCGTCCGGCTGTCCTCCTCTTGTCCTCTCCTTGTCCTCCTGTCCTCTTCTTGCGGGGTTCTCTCGCAGGGAAAAAGGAAGCTAGCCACAGCGTCAGGCCGCGCCAACGAGCTCTGTCCGGCTCTCCTCCTCTTCTTGTCTTGTCACAATTTGCTCGGTCGTGTCCTCCTCATGTTCTTCTATTGCCTTCTTGACTTCTTGTTGTCCTTCTTCAGTGTTCTTTGGCCGCGACCTATCTCCGGTCGTCCTCCTCCCGTCGTCGTGTTGTTTTTCTGTTGTCCTCTCCTCCTTTTCTCCTCTTGGCGTGCTCCCCTCATGTTGTCCTGCTGTCCTTTCGGCGTTGTCCGGTCACGATCTGTTTTTGTCCTCTTGGTGTGTTCGTGTTGTTTTCCTTCCCTCATCCTTTTGTCGTTTGTTGTGTTGTGCTGTTTGTGCAGTCTTTCCGAGGCAGGCGCTTGGGCTGCGGGTTCCCACCACAACCAACAATTTCCCAATTAAGTTGTTTGGGGTCTACGCTGGTATAATTTCCTGTTGTGTAGCTGTTGGCAACCGTGGCTTTTGAAATGTGCCCACCACTCCCTGGTGAGGTGTGCAGTCAGAGAGTCCCGACGAGAGCAGCCCATCAGCTAGCTGGACAAAGGTGACTGAGACAGAGGCCATCCAAAGGGAAATCCAAACGTTGAGAAATAGGGAGTAGTTGAGTGCCTCCTTGCATCCGAGTTAGCCATGAACGTGTTGCAGTGTCCTGATCGGAGGAGCCCAAAGAGTCTCTTGAAGAAGGTCTTGAGGCGCCTGTAGCGATGCACTTGTTCCTAGTAGCGATGGCACTTGAGGCGCCTGTAACGATGGCCTTTAGTAGCGATGCACTTGTTCCTAGTAGCGTCCTTGTTACTACTAGTA